CTCTATACCTCTCCCCCTCTCTCTCAAATCTGACACATCCAAACTTGCAAGATAATTGTACACGTCCGCAAACGTCACGCACTCACATGTACATCTCCGCACAAGGAAACACAAGCAAAGAAAAGTGACATTGGACCAACCCTATACGTATATATACACAAATTATGGCAAAGCAAACCCGAACGAGCACTCTGAAATTTTCCCGCGCGCATGTTCTATCCCCCCTACACCCTGAGCACCAAAACAAATTAATCTGCTTATGGCTATAGTACGATAACGTCACACGCCAAGACGGGCATACACCTGCCAAATAATTTCTAAAAAAACACACAACCCTTACAACCAAAAATAACCCCCATCCACGACCCACATGGCTCCCAGCAAACCCAAAATTTAGAATCAAATAACTCCCACTTACTTTAATATAGCTATCAAAAAATGAATTAATATCCTTTTCCCCCCCTAATCGATTCACAGGGCGTCATCCATGTGACGAATATACATACAGCTATTTACATCTCCAATTGAAAATACATACAGACCCCCTTCTAACTGTCACAACCCCAAAACTAGAGCTCAGACGTATCCTATCGCCACCGTGAATAAATTATTTAAAAAAAAAAAACACATACATTAAAACATTCATATAGCATGTATGCTTAAAGAATTTTGTTAATTTTTAAAAAAAACTTAATATATATATATATATATATATATATATTAAAATATAAAAATAATAAATACTCAGCAAAAGTAAAAAAAAAAAAAAAAAAAATAAATGAATAAATTTTTATTAAAAAAAAAAAAAAAAAAAATAAAAGTAAAAAAAAAAAAAAAAAAAAAAAAAAAAATCTTTAATAATTTTTTTTTTTTAAATATAAAAAAATTAAAAAATTAAAAAAATTAAAAAAAAACTAAATAAAGTTAATTAAAAAAATAAAATTAAAATTTTCTCTAAATCTTTACACATGAAAAAAAAACCCAGCAACCCTTCAAACATATTAAAAACGTAAACTAAGACTAAAGTACTCCAAGGTTGCCACTTATTCTGCAGCTATCCCTCCTAACAGCTGCCCTTTCTCTTCTCCCGCCGGCTCTCCCCTCTGGTGATGGGGCCCTTTCTGATGAAAGAAGTGGGGCCTCCTCTCCCTGCAACCTCTCCTTTGGCCGCCGGGTGCTCCCTGGTGCATCTCCGAGTTTCAAACCCACTACTGACGTCTGTGGGGGCGTGTCCTCTCCAACCTCTATCACTTCCTCTCCTGCACGTCTCCCCTCATCGCCCAGCCCTCTCTCTCGCTGAGTACCCTGGACCTCTTCCCGTGGCACCTCCTCCTGTGACACCTCCTCTCGCGGTATCCCCTCCTGTGGCACCTCCTCCTGTGACACCTCCTCTCGAGGTATCTCCTCCTGTGGCACCTCCTCTCGTGGCACCTCCTCTACGTGCTCTTCATGCTTCTCATCCTGAGGCGACGCTTTCCACTGAGAGATATCCAGATGCGTTTCTAACTCTCTCAACGACCCTTCAGACACTGGCGGCTCCTCCCGTGGGTGTGCTGCCGACCTCCTCAATCCACCCTCAGTAAAACGATGGAATTCCACTGATCCCAACCCACACTCAGGGTATGTCCCTCGCTCTTCAACCTCTGGCTCCTGCTCCGGCTCCTCCTCTCTCCTGGCTAGGGCCTTCCGTCCTCCCCGAGACGGTCTCGCCTCCCTGGGCTCAGGGTCCCTCGACCTCTGACTCCTCTGCCGCCTCTCGACTCTGGGCTGAGGGAGCTCTGGCCGTCGAAAGGCCTCTCTCAGATGTGCCCTGCAGCTCTCCCAATCTCGTGCCATGTCCCTGATCTGCATAGCCAGTGGCCTGTCGGCCTTCCTGGTCCAGAGTGGTAGCGTCTGCATCCAATCATCTCTCGGTATGCCTTGCCCCTGCATGAACCATTCAAACGCGGGGATGAMGTCCGACGCATTTCCAATCTTCAGGCGGATTGGCCTGCCATCAGGTCCCACAGGCGAGGGTCGCAACTCCTCCATCYTCATCTCCACCTCCTGCCTCGTCGTCGCCTCCCTACGAATCCTGGCAATGGGCTCCTCGAACCTACCTGCTCCCCTCAATCTCTCAATCGCCTGAGCGACGGTCCAGCCCATACGCCTCGCATGCTCCCAGAAACTGTCCAGGAATAGCTCGATGTTCCCATCATTGTAGACTGGAGTGCTCTCTCGATGGCGAGGCCCATGCCGCTCATATCCTCCTGATGCGCCCAACGGCCTCTGAGGCGGCCGTGTCCCCTTCGCTCCTCTTGGCATGGTTGTCTTCGTAAAGTCAGACCTGCACAACAGGCGAACGAGACAACAGGCACACATTGGGGTAAGCAAGCAGGTGATAATCAAAGCAAGCTCAGACCAGATCACACTCATGCAGTATGCATCCTACCTAACCTACACACCCTGTTACTTCTATCCTAAAGGCAGTCAGCTCATCTCTCTTACCTCTTCTCTCGCCACAAATTTCTTCAGTCACGTTCCAGATACCCAATTCTTCCACTCAGTCCCATTTTCCTCCTCGATCTGGTATGCTCCGAAGTCTCCGACCCGTGCGATCCGGTAGGGACCTAACCACCTCTTATCGAGCTTCCTGGACCATTGCTTCTCCAGTGATGAATCGTAGAGAAGCACGACATCTCCAACTGCCAAGGGTGCTTTCCTCACCCGCGCAGATTGATCCCATCGAGCCTTATCGTCCATACGGCTTCTCGCCACCTGGCCAGACGCCTCCTGGATCCTTTCTTCTATCGCCCCTATCTGTCGCGCTCGAATATCGAGCAATTCTTCAAATGACAGATTAACTTCCAGATCCTGGCGCCTCCATGTCTTAAGAAAGCT